GAACTGGTTCCTGAAATGTTCAACATTGCGGAATAGGATGACTGCTCAAACATAACATTTATTTCTAATTGAAATTTTTTGAATGTTTATTCATTTATTTTATTTTGTACAAATTTTTCAATTCAAATCAGTTTTTTTGTTGATAAGTTTTCTAAAACATTTTTTTTTCAAATTTTTACTTAACAAAAAAAATCACTAATATCAAATAAAATCTGATTTTTCATTTAATATATTTATGAACATTTTATTCAAATTTATTCTTTTCTCTTTTCTTTGATGAATAACAAGTTTTCTTTTTGTCATCAAAATCTTTTGTTTTCATCATTTCCTAGAACCAAAATTTAACAAATGGAAACAAAATGCCATCACTGTGTCTGGTGGAAATCGAAAAGGACAAGGATTAAATCAACTTAATTTTCCTTTTGGAATCTTTATTGATCAAAAGAAAACTATTTTCATTGCTGATTGTTGGAATCACCGTATTGTTCAATGGAGATATAATGCTAACCAAGGACAAATCATTGCAGGTAGAAATGGTGAGGGAAACCAAACGGATCAATTGAATTATCCATCAGATGTGATTGTTGATCAACAAAATCATTCGATCATCATTGCTGATCATGACAACAGACGAGTGATTCAATGGTTAAATCAAAATGAAAAAATTCTTATTTATAATATTGACTGTCATGGTTTGGCAATAGATCAAAATGGATTTCTTTATGTTTCTGATCCTAGGAAGAATGAAGTGAGACGATGGAAAATGGGAGAATATAACAATGAAGGAATTGTAGTGGCTGGTGGAAATGGAAAAGGAGATGAACTCAATCAATTCGATTGGCCTACTTTTATTTTTGTTGATGAAGATCAGTCTGTTTACATATCAGAGTTGAACAATCATCGTGTGATGAAATGGGAAAAAGATGCAAAAGAAGGAAGAATTGTGGCTGGAGGAAATGATGAAGGAGGAAAACTCAATCAATTATCTCATCCTCAAGGAGTAATTGTTGATCATTTCGGTCAGATCTATGTGGCTGATAGTGGGAATCATCGAATAATGCGTTGGTGTGAAGGAAAAGAAAAAGGTGAAATTGTTGTTGGCGGGAATGGTGCAGGAAATCAATCAAATCAACTGAATCATCCCATAGATTTATCTTCTGATGATGAAGGAAATCTTTATGTTGCCGATTTTGGAAATGATCGAATTGAAAAATTTGAAATAATTTTGTGAATAAACTTTTGATTTTGAAAAGATTTGTAATAAAAACTAAATCGAAAAGTGAAAACAAATTTTATTTAAAATTTCAAAAGCAATTAATAAACATTTTTATTGAGATGAAAACAAAACATCAAGAAAATATATGAAATAAAATCGAAAATTAATAAAAGTCCTGTAAATGTTACAAAATTGAAACTTGATTTTTAATTTGAAAGAATCTTGAGGGTGTGGGTGCGAATAGAGAAGAACCAAGTACTCCCACGCCCTTGGCACATCTATGAGGCAATCTCATAATAATTTATCTGGACTTTGTTAGAATACAGTTTTAGGACTTCGCTAAACCAAAGTAAAATCTTGTATCTGGGAATATTTGGATCCACGTCTAGTTATCTAGTTCTACTGCCTGCAAACATTGCCTATTTGCAATTGATTGACGATGGTTTATAATATAGTACAAAAGTATATGAATAAATGGAAAAGTACATTTTTACAATAACAAGCACAGAATGACGTCAATCATTTATCGATTCTAGCAAACAAAATAATGAATAAATATTATTCTCATTTTTTTGTCTCAAAAAAAGTTTCATTTCTATTGACTCTCGGAGAATTATGCATTGCGTTCTTTTATATTTCTTTCTTCAAACAATTTTAAAATATTTGAAAATAAGGACGATAGTAATCGTTCAGAATGTAAAAGCTTTAATGAATCTAAGTTCAAATTAGTATATCTTTTCTTGATCTTAAATTTTTTATTAATAATTCCCATATGAAAAAAGAAAACAAAATTTATTATTTCTGTGAAAGAATTTCTTTTTTTTTCTTCTAATAATTGATATACAATATATTGTTTGACACATATTTTATATCCGATTATTATTTGTTCGGAGCCGATGTAATGTCTTGTCCGAAATTTCCAGTATAATAAAGTAAAAGAAAAGGATAGTTGTTATCGAGAATATTTATTTAATTTTTCTCGGCAATTTTTGTCCATTTATTAAGTCACATTTAACGTCATAGACTTTGAAACCAATCAAAAGTAACAAGTAACTAAATGCGAGAGTGGATGAAAAGAACGAGAAATATATAGAACAATAAATTGTTAGTTTCATTTCATTTGTTCATAATGGTAACCATTGGTAGGCCCAATTTATGGTTAATTTTAATCATTATTGGGCAAGTATCAGGTAAACACCCAATATTTTTTCTGTAGTTTCATAAAAATGAATTCTTAATATTCAGCTGCTGTGGGACTTCATGATTAATATTAACATAGAAGCTGAATATTTTAGGTAATATTTTCCATTAGACTGAATTCGAAAAAATCGAGACATCAGGGTGTGGTGAGTGCGAGTACTACCCGTTTCGCTCTCACTCATATTTGAATTTATTTAGAATCATAATAATTCTTTCGATGAAAAACATTAAAATTTTCATTTCAATAGAATTAACTCAATTTTTCTTTGATACTTTAGCTGTTTCTTATAATCAGCCAAAATTTTGTTCGAATGTTTCATGGAATCAAAATGCCACAATTTTTGCAAATAGCAGCACAATAGGTACAACTCCTTACAGCATTTTTATCAACACCGATAACACCATTTATGCGCTTAATCGAATACATAATCAAATTCAGATGTGGCTTAATGATAGTATGAATCTAACCAGGACAATTTCTGGTGGTTTTTCAAATTCATGGAGCATCTTTGTGACGACAAATGGTGATATTTATGTCGATAATACCAATACAAGCAGTTCCGTAGACAAATGGGCATTGAATTCAAACAGTAGTGTACCTGTAATGTATGTTAGTAGTGCATGTTACAGTCTCTTCGTTGATATTAATGATACTTTATACTGTTCAATAAATGCTCTTCATCAAGTTGTTACAAAATCACTTAACAGCGTTTCAAACATGACAACCATTGTTGCTGGTACAGGCTGTCCAGGATCTATTTCGAATATGCTTTATAGTCCTCGTGGAATCTTTGTTAACACTAACTTGGATTTATATATAGCAGATTATACTAATAATAGGATACAATTGTATCAATCAGGACAATTAACTGGAACAACAGTAACAGGAGTTACATCCTTAACTACTACAGTTACACTCTATCAGCCAACTGGAATTGTTCTTGATGCAGACAACTATCTTTTCATTG